CTCAACAAATGGCATGGTAAATAGAGAAGGGCGACCCGTTGGAGGAATCCAATTTCAGGACGGTACAGTCTTTTATATTTTGACAATTTTATCGGCAGCGCGGAAACTACGAGCCCTTAGAAAATAAAAAGGGCCCCTTAGAGAAAAAAAAAGTGTAAGCCTTTAATAAACAGGCCCTTAGAACGTAAACACGAAGGGTAGGGGTTATAAGTTAGTCGAGGCCACAAGTCTGAACCAAAATGGACCAATGAGCTATAAAACCGTCCTCGCCGTAAACTATATGGTCCTCGGTCACCACATAAAGATAACCCCTTAATCTAACCGTGCTACCTGAAGCCGTAACCCAGCTGTATTGCTTCACTTTTTATAGTTTAACACGGTTTCTCTCCAATATACGGCGCCATAATTTTCTTATATCTAGGGAAAAATAATGTGCTCTGTTATTCAGTGGCCGACTAATCAAGCAAAAACATTTATCCTTACATAAAGGTTTAATACACCTCTTATGCACGAACGTAGAAGAAATGGATGTCTGAACTATTAAAATGACGGATATGTCTAGAAGAAACGAACCAGAGATAAATTAGCGGAAAAATTATACGTACAGTTTAACGGAACCGTTTTCGTTTCGACAGAGAATAAAATTATATTTATTCCTGTTGTCTGCGGTATAATAAGCCTGTAATTTGATCCATAACCATCTTCTTTGGTTGGGTTGATGTCAGGAGAGTTTCGGCATATCGCCATCTGCAGCGAGGATAGGCAGAACAAAATGATCGGTAACGACCAAATTTCAGGTTTATCTCTCCGCAGTCGACGCGAAGAATTCTCACAATAAAGAACACTTATAAAATTTTACGGGAAAGAAAATAAATATATTATCTCTAGAGCATCGCTGGGTTGGTCTGACAGTCGCGTTTCGGCATTTCGCCATCTTTCAGAGTGTTGGGTCTGTGCGATTGTTGTGAAGTCAAGTCTCTTTTATAAGGTCGTGAGGAGTTATCTTTGTTTGTAGTTGCCTTTGGTGGATTAGGCATGGTTTTTTTCCGTTTTTTTTTGTAACATATGTAAATGTGTAACACAAATGAGACGTTAGACGCTCAAACCTAATGAATGGACACGCATGACTGATGAACTGCGAAAACAGGAGTACCAGAAATGATTTCGACCTGCCTAAATAACGTCATCATCACACAAATCATCCAAACATAATTTGTCAATTTATTTTGTTTTATTTAAAAGAAAAGGCGTCGAAGGAAAGAATTTCAAATCGATAAATCATTTTCTCGTCAACCTTATAGTTTTCTTAAATACAACAAAACTCAGGTGTTCAAAATTCATGGGATAATACAAAAATCCTTGTTTAAAATTAAAACAAAAATATTTTTTAAAAATTTAAAAATATGACTGGGAATAATACTAAAAGCCACAGCCTACGAACCAAATATGGCAAATACTATGAAAATACTAAATCATTCTTGAAGAGTTAATTTTAATAATTTACCCTTAAAAATACAATTAATATAGCCTTCCTTTAAACAGGTAGGGCGTGAGGAAGGCGTTAAGTATAAAAGGCCCTTTTGAAGAACCAAATATTTAGTTAATTGGCGCAGTACAGGGTCTCCCTAAAGTATGGCAGGGTGGTGGATGGGCGATAAAAAATATCTTTAAACAATTTGTGTTACTCATTGGTATTAACAAAACTTTCAGCAGTGGTTAAAAGTTATTTTATTCTCTTAGAAATTAACACTGCACAAAATTTCATGTTTTGTCATTAAATAACTATATATTCTTCAGTCAACAATATAAAAACTCCCCTGACAGATTTTTTTTTTTTTTTTTAATTTCATAACTTCTTCAGTAGAGTTTTTAATATATCAAGGAAAGTGAATAAAATGAGAACTTTAGCCACACAAATCAATAGCACTAGATTCGCAAATTAATTTTCGATCATAATCAGAATATATTCATTTTTGTAAATATTATTTTGTATCAGTAAAATATATCAATGTGATGAAACACAAATCTGAATAAAGTAGGTACAAATTTTAACAAATATAAATAAAGTCATCTTAACGGCAAGAATTTGTTGAAATATCATATATAATCATTTGTGAACATACCTGACTTTTATGATCAGTATAACAATAAATCAATATAACACTATTACATGTGCATAAAGCCATAAACCTAAACCTTTTCTACATTGTCACTCCAACAATCATCCTTAGTAGATTTTTTTAACTTTTAAAAAAGAACCATACATACATATATGGTAAATAAATTAAAATGATATTAACTTCACATCAACTGCCTCATAAACAAAATTAAAATGTAGGAATAGAACAAGTGTGTAACAGGGGTCAGCAACCAAAATTTCTTAAAACTAGAGGGAGTGCATGAGTCAGAAGGCAATTATTTGATGTTTGGACAGGGGGTTAGGGCCGTGTGAGATGAATCAATTCCTGGCATTTAGAAGACAAACAATTCGAGTGGATAGCTAACACAATTGTTAGACGATTCCTCAGGGGAAAGTTGTTTATTACATTAGAGCAATGGGATTTGACCCTAGTGGGTGAATAATCTGATAAAGGGAGGAGATGGAGAAAGATAATAGGGAAGAAGCCAGAGGGGGATTAGAAGTCTTTTGGAAGATACATTGATCAAACTCTTACAATCAATTTAAAGTCAAAGCGAGCGGCAAAAGAGGGGAAGTTCTTTCATCACTTAGGTAATGAGTTGATTGTGCTACTCAACAAAAAATAGTTATAATTTAGTATTACAAAGTTAAATGTCTGTAATTGTCAGTCCTACTCTGTTTGACTTGTTCACTTTTTTAAATTTATTTATGAAAACTGGTCTTATTACACCGACCATTAATTTTACAATAATATATACATAATAAATAAATATTTACTTCCTTATAAACCCATTGGTACAATAAGATTTATGTTTCACTTATTCACTCATTTTTAACTACACTAGTTCATATGGCTTTGTTCTTTTTAACCTTCTGAAGGTGTTTCGGTTATGTAGGAGTTTTGGCTTGAGATTTCAAATGTCGCTAATCTTCAATTAGAAGTGAAAGGATATGGGGATTATCTTTATGAGAATTGGCTTTTCAAAATTACTTTTCTACAGGCAAAACAACAATGTTGAAAATGTTCTCACAGAAAAATATTCAAAATGAAAAATAATCTTAACTATGTTTGATATTGTAATTCCGATAAAGTGTATGCTGAAGGAGAAAATTTGTCAGAATATAAGGTGGGAAATAAATGCAGGCCTGGTAATGGTCCACTTGTGAGCAAACAGAAAACTGGCCCTGAATCGAAAGTGAATATTTACAATATGCCCGTGTACACAAGAGGGGTGGAAGCAATCAAAAACTGGGGAGGGTGAGGGGCGCAGTTTATCCACCTTGTGTCCAATACAGAGTGCAAATATTGATTCAAGGGGAGGAAAATGTATTTCCATGCACATTTTAATTTTTCCTCTTAAGAGGGCTTGTAGTGGAGTGAAAGCTGGGTAAACAAGGTTTCCGAGAGCACTTATTGGCAGGACCGACATGGTCTGAAGGGCAAACAGTAAGGAACCGAGGATAAACAAACCTTATCAAACAGAGAATGAAATCAACTGTGCCAGGGTTCTTCCACTAGCAGTATAAATGTAAGCTATACCATCAAAATTAAAATATGTTTAAACAAAAACTTCAATCTAAATGGGATTTAAATACAGTTGATGAACTAAAAAAGAATCCTAGATTCATTTATTTTGTTATACAATTGTTTAAAATTATTATTAATAACTGACTGTGAGATTTATTTTCAAAAATACTTAAATTCGTCTTAGAAGCAAAAACTGTTGTAATTAATATACTATGAGCCCATACCATTAATTTATATCACAATCCAAAATCGCACTAAAAATGTCCTTTGTATATCCAGGTGACTCCTCACAAGGATGCTTGGAGTGAAGTATAGGATAAATGTCAATTATGATTTCAAAAATCGTTGAATAATGAAAATTACAAAACCTACATCAGGTAAATACAGTGTGTGGTGATTAGTGACCGTTAGTCGATAATTATTTATATATCGTAGGATGCGGTCTGGTGTGATGTAGGTTTCAGAAAAACATTTTCTTTGCCATGCCAACATTTCGATCTTTATTGAGCCCTAAAGATGATCTCAATAAAGATCGAAACGTTGGCATGATAAAGAAAATGTTTTTCTAAAACCTACGTCACACTCGACCGCACCTCACGATCTCCAAATAATCATTGGCTAACGGTTACTAAACACCACACATTATATAGGATTTTTTAGTCCCCAGTCATCGACATATCGCTGTTTTACTCACATCCAACTAAGCCCAGTAGGGTAAAGGCTCCAAAAGATGCTGTTGTAGAAAATAAGGCAACAGATATTCAAGATAATACGCTGAGTTTGCAAATACTACAAATATAGTGTATCCAAAGTATTTAATACAAGAATATTATATTTGCCTCCTTTCCCACCAAAAACGCCATCCGTTTCCTAGGGCTGTATCTTGGCTAACTTGGGTTCCCCATACACAACTTCAAAAATATAACTGAACCAATGATACCGATTACTTAACGATAGGGATGACTTTCCAGAACAATGTACCTCTTCTAAAAGCTCTGCTTTTTGAAGCTTGTAGGTTGGGGTATTTCTAGAACTGAATCTGTGTCAATGGCTTGTATATTGCTTTTAAATAGAGAAGACTATTTTTTGATTTACCCTTTTAGAAATTTTTTACGATTTTTTGAACAAAAAAATCACAATTTTTCTGTATTTCAGGAATGTATGTACAAATCAGTACTGTAACGAATGTGTTAAAAAGACTACGAGAGAACAGATGTATACTCTCCCTTAAATTCAATTTTCACAGAAGTACAAAAGTTTTTAAATTTTTAACTTTTTTAAAACTATGATTACCTTTGAAAGCAAACAGTGTAAACCCCCCTTGCTATTTAATAATACTGAGTAGCTTTAATACTCCTTAAAATCTATAGTAGAACATGCCAAATCACTTACCCGATGATTAACAATGCCGTTTTTGGGAGCAACTGCCTTGTCAGCTTGCAAGCCAAACCACTGCTTCTCTTCATCATAAGTCAGAATTGAAATCTGGGCTTTTGATATCAATTTCCCAAACCTCAGCATGTCAACAATTCTTGTATAAACCTAATAAAAATGTTTGAAATAGAATTTTGTTCTTTGCTTCTTTTTTTAACACTTACTTCATCAATCGGTTTCAATGGCATGGTTCTTAAATAGTCCCAGTTCAAGTTTGCCTGAGCAAGCTGTAAACTGCTGAGACCTCTTACAGCAACATCCTCAGGGAGAGGGATAGTACATACAGTTTCCTCAGTAACAATATCTACAATTTGTATTTTGTTGGTAGCAGAAAGAAAAATACATTAAATATAAACAAAAAATAAATACTAACCATCATCAAAAATCTCTTTAAGATTCATTAGGCTTGGTATTCCACTGAGATGGTTAAGAAATTCAACTAGTCGTGTTAGAAATGGAATTGAACTTGTTCCACAGGATTTTAAGAATACCTGATTACTGAAGATCCAGTGAAAGCCAATCTGTCAATTAAAACAAAGAAAAATGCATTAGTAAAACGACAAACACCTGCATAATGCACTTACAAACCTTAATCGCCTGAAAAAGAAATCCATCTTGACACAACTGTAAAATATGTTGGAATGTTTTATCTCTTGAAACTAAAGAATGTCTCCACGGTTTTGTTGGATCAGAATCCAACATGGTATTTGCATTTTCTTTTTCATCCAGTATACCATTCACCGCAGGCTTACCTATTTTAATTAAATTTTTCAAAATATGCGTCATAACCTAATAACTTAATGTTAACTACCATTGGCCATTTCCTCCTCTGAATCATTGCATTCATCAAAAATAAGGTCCTCTTCGCTGATATCAGAATCCATGCTGTAGACTGAATCATTTTCATCTAAAACAAAAATAAAAATAAAAAAATTATGTATAAGCCTTTAATAATTAAGTACACAATAAAATACCTTCGCTGAGGTCTGAAGTAGATATATTTTTACGCCTTCTTCTCCTACGAAGTTGGCTACTGTTTTTCTTGGCTGATGACGGCTCAAGACGTGGAGGCAAAATGGCTTCGATTCTTTTTAAGGCACATTGGACCAGCTGTGACATGAGTGTTAGGCACAGGGCAACCCCTCCCATTATCTGAGGCGAGTCTAAACAATAAAATTGGCAAAGTCCTTTATAATTTGAACAAAGTTAATATTTTAAACAACCCACTTTTAGCCTTAAGCTGCTGAACACACATTATGGATATAACCATCATTTTAAAGAGCATATCATCATTTAAAATTGTTGGTTCTGTTATTGAGCTTTGGACCTTGTTCTTGTTATTTTCCACTTCTGCCATGCAAGCTTCCAAAGTCATAAAAGCATCAGCATATAACTGAAATAATAACGTAATTAAGAGAAATGACACAAAGCAAAAAGTTATTACCATACCTGATTTATTTGTGGATTAATTTTATCATAAAACATAGAATAAGAGATGTGAATGAATGCGACTATTAACTTTTTTACATTGGGTACATTAACTTTGCTATTTCCTTTAGTGATTTCATCTGAGATTTTACAGTTATTTTCCATCAGGTGTAAAAGATTTCCTTCAGCGCCTTCAAACTTTTGTGTGCAGCACAAACTAAAGAATTATTTTTTAAATGAATATTTGACCAGAAATTGTAAAAAAAAAAATGTAGTTTTCTTATTACCATCTCATGTAATAGTAGGTCGAATCAAGTCCATAATTCTGATTTGTTGCCAAAGTTCCAAGCTGGTTGTGCGGCATTCCACACTCAGGCTTCCAGTTTAGAGCCTAACAAAGTACAAATAAATAATAAATAAAAATAAAATCATTTGAAACTAACCTGCACGTAATATCGCTGAGCAAAGTTATGATCATAAGATGATTGCAAATCAGATAAGTATCTGCTTATATCGCCGAGATAAATGAGACAACGGTGTAAAGCGTGGTGAGCCCATTCTAAAGCGCTGCTTTCAATGGCCTTGCCATTCCACCAATTCTTATCTAAAATTGAAAATTGCAAGTTATAAAATTATAACAACCATTCAGATTTACGGGAAAGTACCTTTTTTAAGACCACAATCAGTAATTAACAAAGGAAAATCAACAATTCCACGAAGGTCCAAACGAAAATGTGACTGAAGTTTCATAATGAGGTGGTGGTAATAACCAATGCCAGATTGTAGATGTGTTTGTATCATGCACATTTCGGCCAAATCCATTTTGGCAGTCTAAAAGAGAATAAACCAAAAACATATAAATCTGCTATATAATATGACAAAAGAAAAGTTGTCCTACCTTATTCAACCTTTTGACTGTTCCAACAATTTCATAAAATACTTTCCTCCAAAGCAAATCCTCAGCTTTTTTGCCATACCCGACAGGATCGGTGAACATAAGCTTGTCACAGTAATCTCTAAGTTTGATCTAGACACAAAAGTTTCCAAAATGTTCACATGTGTTCAACATTTTTACTATTTACAATCAAATGAAATTACATAGTCATTGTCCATCATGCCAATTTAAAATGTTGTCATTGTGATATATTAAAATATGTGCTCATACATTGCACATGATGATTAACAGCTAATCTTCTATACTTTTCCATATTTTTATTTTTTGTTTTTAGTGGAACAATAACTTCCAAAGAAAAATTTAAACAATTGCCAATCTCTGTTTACCTACCTAGTTATAAGACTAATTAGAAAAAATTCAATGCTGATAAATCCACTGTCATATAAATAAAGAGTTTTGGAAAGTGTAAAGTTATTAAAACCAATTGCAATAATTTTCAATGCCAATTAAATTTTAATAGACTATTGATAGAATAAATTTTACTTAACATATGTAGTTCTTAAAGTACAAAATTTAAAAAAATCCTTATGGAAATATTGGGTTGTCCGGAAAATAATGCAGGATTTTGGTATTAAACAAAAAAAAAGAAACTAGTTACTTTAAAGCAATGTTCTTTAATCAAAATAATTNTACAAATGAGTAATCCTGTAAACGTAAACAGAATATTTTATATAGATTTTTTTTAATGAAAACTTAAAATCCTGCATTATTTTCCGGACAACCCAATATCATTGGTTTATTTTTAAAAATAATCAAGACATTTTAATGAGTTATGATCTAAAATACTTCAAGATACAAATAAAAAAGCCTAATTGACCTACTAATATTATTATATGTTTACAAAGAAATTCATATAATTCATCATTTAAATATTAATTAAAAATATACATTAATTTGTATTTTAATCATTTGAATTTAATTATTTAAATTGTTATTTCAATTCTTACCCTTTGAGCTTCAATGTTCTCCGAAAACAAATCGCTCACATGTTCTACCCGAGCTCTTTGATCATCCAAATGTCGAACAACATCAGAAATTGCCCTGCAAAAAATTAATTAACTGAATTACTCTAACATAATAAAAATGTACAGTGCATATTGGTTTATTTTTAGATTGCATCAAAACTGTCGTGGCCTAGCAAAACATAGTAATAAGGAACTATTTTCAAACTAAATTAACTTAAGTGGGACACATGAATCAATAATAAGAAAATTCCAGCCATAAAACTCAGTATATATTCTAAATAAATTTAACCATAAACTAATTCATGACACTAGATAAAAATTTAGAAACATTAAATTAAAATGGATTCATTTTCAATTTAAATTAGTAAGTAGATTATGAGTTAAAGATTAGCCAATGTAAAGAGAGGATGTGGAATACATTTGTTTTGATCAGATAAATATGAAAGCATTAAAAAAAAAGTTAATGGGTAACAACACACAGTGGAAATGTTCAAATAGGTAATTACACTATGTTGTCATAAATAACACAACTTTATATAATCACCCGTTGTAATTGTTTTAACCTTTGGAAATAGATATTCCTGTGTTGAATACAAATTATAAATTAAATAAAAAATATTAAACCATTGGGAAAATGTGATCAGATGTTGAAATGTAGAAAAACAGTCAATCCCATTAGTAACTGTTGTATAGTTATTGGTTGCATCTTCAAGATAATGCATAGTGTGTAGCTAAATAATTAAATTATATAATAAGGTCATAAAATAAGTTCATTGTGTTTTTTTATGTAAAAATTCAATGAAAATTTAAGGTAAACAAATGTAATCAATATTATATGAACCGTGTGTAGTATTTAGTGTCCGTTAATTAATTATTATTTGGAGATTGTGACAAAACCGCATCTTATGATCTCCAAAAAATCATCACATGAACCGTTTTGTTCTACTGCCTTTTGCCATCGTCTATGTAATTTTGTAAATAAATCTGAATTTCTGCAGCTCTCTAGTAAAGTAAAGTTTACCCATTAAGAGAGTTTTGCAGAGCCTGGGTAAGTGAACATCTGATGTCTTAATGCAAATGACGATTGGTGGGGTAACACAAGTCAAGTTTCAACCATTTCTGGTGCGTCTACAAAGACATATGAAGGCGAACATCATTCTTGTGGAAAACAATCCCTTGAAATTTTAATCACTTATAGTGTGCAGTATTGTAAGAAAAATAAAAAGGGATGGAAGGAAATAAGGGATTTAATAAACTAAATTTTAAACAGGAATAACACAAACGTAATTAAGAGAAAAAGTGTCCAAATATATGATTTCGGGGTGTAGGTGAGAGTTGTTCCATAGATGTCTGATTGAAATCAAGTCATTAACATAGAAAAGGTATTCACCGGCAGGAATATGACTCATAAATGGCCCAGAAATTTTCTTTTTCTGCCAGTGCTCAATTCTAAGTTGGTGGTGGAAATGGGAGGATTCAGCCAATGAAATAGTTTATTGTTTTAAACTGCAATACTCATACATCTCCCAAGAAACATTGCACTTTCCTCCTTCATGCTGAATAAATATCTCTTTCCCAACCCCCTTCTTTCTGAGCCCTTGCCTTTAGGGCCAGACTTCGCTCGAACTGCCTGGCAGTAGGGCCACTTGTATCTGATAATGGTTTTAAGAAGATGTAAACGAATTTTGTAAAAGCATACATACTCTAAATAACAGAATCTATTATCATCCTAACCATACTGCTCAAGCCCTCTCTACACATTCGCATCCCAAAAAACCACCACATCACCTTAATCGACAATGAACTCAAGACCTCCTTGCCCCTTATCCCACACAGTGAGTGGAAGTATTGGTTGGTTTCTCATGGCATATGTCCTCCAAGTGCAGCACTGGCATTAGTGCTGCTTGACAGTGTGAAAAAAAAAGTTTTGTGATCAAATTTATAACATGTACAAATATATATAGGGTTAGAGTGGGTCATTGCTTTTCCCCCAGGATTAACCTCTTGGAACATGGTTTTAAAGGACCCACTTGTTATCAATCTTGTTAAAAATTGGTCGTTTACATTGCATTTTAAGAAAGAATCGCAGATGGAGATGCAGCCCAATAACCTCTTCTCGGCGAACATGTGAGGAACCCATATATCGATACGATGAGTGTCCAGCTGCTCTCAGATACAATTTTTTTTTTTTTTTTTTTTGGGAGGGGGTTCCATTACCCCCTTCTTTTTTTTCAACTTTCTATTTTATGTGTGTGCGGGCAAGCGTATATGCAACACCCACGCCTACACGCAGGTGCATAAGGAGGGGGGATGGCCTCACTATTTCCCTCCAGATCTTTCGCTCTTTTGTAGCTCTGAGGGTTAGTAGTTTTCATATACCTCGTCCCCCACCCTCTCTCAATTATTTCCTTTCATCTCTTTTTTCCCTCCTCTTCTTTCTTCTTCTTTTTCCTCGTTTTGGAATTTTATTTCATTTCATTGTTTTATATTGGGCTAGGCGAATCTGTGTTGGAGTGATTGGAGATTCTCCAAGCGATCTTTCTCAGGAACGGACACGTTGGACTAATTCGTATCTCGTGGATACGTGTGTCACCTCACTACCGACTCCCTCTTCTTGTAGTGGAGGGGCGTTCGGATGCTTGGTGACCCAGTGCTGTCCCTCACACGTGGCGCAGTGCCCTAATACAATTTTTACAATAAAATCATCATACACACCAATAAAATGTACTAACCTAGGTTGGCGGGCTCGGGGGTGGGACATTCCACCGGAGCCCTCCCTTAAAATCTAACCAAAAATAATGTTAAAATGAACCTTTCACACAAATAAATACTTGCATACTAATAAATACATTCACACGATTTCATCCACGCAATATGTACAATTAAAATAAGGTGGGCAGCGGGGTGTGGAATAAAACGCCGCTGCCTCACCTCTCACTCATACAATTCCCTACAACTAAACTAAACCTAAATGTGGTGTGTCTGTGGGGTACTCAATATTCCGCCACAGACCCGACCACTTTCACTAATAACTAAATTGTCCGGTTGTCGGCCCTATGGGGTACTCTATATTCCGCCACAGGTTCGACTCCCTTAGACGGAACCATTCTCGCCAATAAATACATTCACACCAAAGTAAGATAAAAAGAGCCATGTGTGAGAAGAGCTAGATTTGATTGTTTATATTTATCCTCTTCAGATACGCAACGAGGTTATCGGTATACTCCCTGTTCTGTTTTAACACTGTAATCATCTCTGCTAGAAGGCCACACCTGTCACAGTATGGCGCTAGGTTGATGCATTCTTCTATCAGGTGTTGTACTGTCATCCTAGCGCCACATAAGGGGCACCTCCGGGGTCTCTTTCCTGTAAGAAGGTGTCCGTGTGTTAATCTGGTGTGACCTATTCTCAGTCTTGTTAGGATGATGGCTTTTCCTTTATCTAAATTCTCTAAGACCCATGGCTTAACATTCGGCTTAATCGGGTTCAGCTTTTCGGTCATCCCAGTCCAGCGGGTTTGCCAGTTGTCCCAGCTCGTTCTTCTTAAATAGTTTTTGACATCCGCTGGACTGATTGCAATATCCGGGTCACTAGGCATCACCGCCGCTTCCTTAGCTGCCTTGTCGGCCTCCTCATTTCCTTTGAGGGCGACGTGACCGGGAATCCATAGGATAACAACCTCGCGTCCATTAACTTGTATGTCATTTAATTGCTCGTAGAATAATCTAACCAGTGGGTCGACAGAGAATTTATTCTGGACAGCTGAGACCGCGCTGAGCGAATCTGTACATATAACATATTTTCCTTTCCCCATACGTTTGATCTCGCCCAGCGCTGTCAATATGGCATACATCTCTGCAGTGAATATGCTGGCCGCCCTCGGGAGAGACGCTTTCTTAGTATTCTCCCCTGTATATACGGCACGGCCGACCCCCTCGGTGCTTTTTGAGCCATCAGTGTATAAATATCTCGCACCTACCAGTTCCTCTTTGATGGAGAGGAACATAGCTTTGTATATTTGAGAGGGGGTCTCTTCTTTCTTCTTCATCGCCATATCGACCCGTATGGTTGGCGAGGGGAGCGTCCACGGTTCCGTTTTGGTTTCAGTAACCGGGATTATTTTATCTAATTTTACTCCCCTCGAGACCATTAATTCCTTTAATCTAACTCCTATCGGTCTCGTACGGGTTCTCAGCCGCCCATACTCCTCGGCTTTTTCCTCATCAAACAATATTGTGTGGAGGAAATGGGATTGCCTGCCCCATACACTTCCACTGTAATTCAGTATCAGCTGGTTCCTCTTTTCCGTCAGGGGCATTACTCCACTCTCCACACATAAACTGTTGACGGGGCTTGTTCGGAAAGCCCCAGTAGCAATCCTTATACCAGCGATATATGCTCTATCTAATTTCTGTAATCTGCTTTTCCTTGCCGAGGAGAACACCATGCATCCGTAATTTAATTTTGTACACAACAGCGATTTAAATACGTTAATTAATATTTCCCTCGTTGCTCCCCATCGAAAATTATTTACAAATTTCATTAAATTTAGGACCTTTTTACTCTGGACCGCAGTATGGTCGATGTGGTGCTGCCATCTCAATTTTTCATCAAAAATGAGGCCGAGATATCTTATACTGCTCACATACTCGAGGGCTGTTCCTTTTAACGTAAGAGGAGGGGCAGTATGTTCCCTCCTCAGTCTGCAGAAGTGTAGTGCTTTTGTTTTCGCCCTTGAAAATGTGAATCCGATGCCCTCAGCCTCACTGACCACCACATCGATCCCTTCTTGGACTTTTCGGGTTATTTCATTGATATCGTCTCCGCTGCAAAGGATTGTCAAATCATCGACATACAAAGCCTTTAGCAGCGGAGCTTCCAATTTATCTGCTATATTGTTTACTGCGATCCCGAATAATGTTACAGAAAGTACCGATCCTTGGGGGATTCCATTCTCCTGCCGACGGTCATCCGATGTCACTGCTCCAATTTTAACCTTAAACCGTCGGCTTTCCAAAAAAGTATTTATTAATTTAAGGAATCTCCCCCGTAGCCCCCAGTCATGACATTTTTTCACAATCCCATATCGCCAGGTTGTATCGTAGGCCTTCTCTAGATCGAAGAAGACCGCGACACAATGCTGTCTTCTAAGGAATGCATCCTGTATCGCGGTCTCGAGAAGGCCGGCCTGGTCGACGGCTGAGTGGCCTCTCCTGAACCCCGCCTGATATGAACTGAATAATCCTTTTGTTTCCAGGTACCACACCAGCCGTCTGTTTATCATATTTTCCAATATCTTTCCCAGGCACGTCGTCAGCGATATGGGCCTATAGCTGCTGGGGGCGCTTGGATCTTTTCCTTCTTTTAGGATCGGCACCACAATGGCCTCTTTCCAGCTGTCCGGGTATTCACCTGCTCTCCATATCTCGTTTTAAAGTTCTAATAGTTTCATTTTGGCGAGAGCGGGTAGCCTCCTTATAAGTGCATTTGGAATGTTGTCACTACCCGGACTTGTATCTTTAGTATTTTTTAATGTTGTTTCTAATTCGGCCATTGTCAGGTCTAAGTTGACCTGTTCCGTAACACTGCCTTCTAGGTCCAATTCATTTCCCAACTCCAGACGTTCTTTAATTTGTTTAAATCTCTCTGAATATGATCGATCGCTCGAGACATTTGCATAATGGTCTGCGAGCGCATCGGCCACTTCTTTGACATCCGTTACCATTGAGTCATTGATTTTAAGGATCGGAACCATAGGTGGCTTGTATTTCCCGGCGATGGTGTTAATCCTTCTCCAGACCTCCCTCATGTTCATGTCCCTTGTTAATTCTTTTACATAATTATGTAGGGAGGCCTGTTTGGCCGCGTTGATAATCCTTTTTCTTTTGCCCTAGATATTTTGAACCTTGTTAGATTTTCCTCCATGGGATATGTATTAAATCGTATAAAGGCCCGCTTCTTTTCTTTATTGGCCGCCTCGCATTCCTTATTCCACCAGGGGACCTGTCTGCGTTGTCTCGGTCCCCCGGTTATAGGTACTGATGTTGCTGCGGCGGCCTTAATCGCGTTTGTAATTTCATTAACGTCAATGTCTATCTCCCCCATTAAATCTGGGAGAGTCACTGACGTTACATAAGCGGGCCAATCCGCTTTCTTCAGGTTATATCTAGGACTTGCCACGTACGGTTCCAGACGAATGGAGCTGGTTATAGCGATGGGGAAATGATCACTGAAATATAATAATTCAGATTTCGTGAGATGCGGTCGGGTGTGATGTAGGTTTCAGAAAAACATTTTCTTTATCGTGCCAACGTTTCGATCTTTTATTGAGATCATCTTCAGGGCTCAAAGTGTTTGTCTTCTGTGTAATTGTGCCATCCTTGCGTGTCGTGTTGAGAGTGCCTGAAATATAATTCGTCCAACGTATCCCATGTCACATCCGGAACTAGTGTCGGAGAGGCAAATGTCAGATCGATAGTGCTGTATTTTCCATTATATGTATTAATATGTGTCTGTTTCCCCGTATTCAGTAATATTAAATGTGTATCATCAACCATTTCTTCTATTTTTCTTCCTATACTGTCAGTTGACTCTGAACCCCACCACACGTTGTGTCCGTTGAAATCTCCCATCAGGAGAACGGGGTGGGGTAATCCATTAATTATTTCTTTTACTTCATGATTCCAATTTCGATCTGGTAAGTAAATTGAACATAATGTTATTTCCTGAGGCATTTTTATTCTGGCAGCTACGATCTGAACGTTATTGTTTTCTATGCATATTTCTTCTGACTTATTTCGTTTTTCACATAAATAGCCACTCCCCCGTGTGCTCTTCCTCCATGTGCTATTGGTACTCCCCGGTGTAGGTACGATATCCTCTCAAAGAGAATTGTTCCTCCGGGCGTAAATGGCTTTCTTGGAGGGAAATGGCTATAGGCGTAAGTTGTGCGATAATTCTTCGTAATCCTTCTATATGTGTTTTAATGCCTCTCAAGTTCCATTGGATGATTATCCCGTTCATTATTATTTATGTGTGGCCTCCCTATTATTACATTCTTTTTTCTTTGCTGGGTCTGGCTTCCGGGGTCTCCCCTTCGGCCAGCCTGGTTTTTTCTTTTTCTTCTTTTTTCCGGGAACTGGCGTAAAGCCTTCGTTCCCGGTTCAGTCAGTTGACGTTTGGCTCACAGACTCCATCTCCCAGCTATGCCCTTTGGATGTCTCTTCCACGACATCCATTAAAGAGATAAGGGGGGCTCCCTGAAGGGAGATGGGGTCATGATGCTGTGTCTGGCATCAACACTTTTTGTCGTGGGGTGGGTATCTCCACCCCAGTTGTTGAAGAATGGGTTAGCTCCTTCAAAATCGCTCCCCCGGCTGGAGGAGCGCTCTGGGTTTTCGACCCCGGCAAAGTCGGGGCCTTGATTATTACTGGAGGTGATTGCTCACCCCCCTGGTTTTTGGCACTGACAAAAGTCAGTGGCTGGGTGCCTTTAGTGGCGATGGCACCCGAAAATTGATATACTGGCGGAGGTTGCTCGGTTTGAATGGAAACCTCCGCAGTTATTTTTTGTGCCCTAGTTTGGGCAGCCGCTCTCGCATAGCTCTTTGTGCTTTTAATGAACGCATCACTTCTTACTAGGGTTCTCGCTTCTACATGCGTCATTTTCTTTTCAATTTTTAATTTTTGGATCTCCCTTTCTTCTTGTAATACAGGGCACGCACTAGATCTAGCATGGTGGTGCCCTTTACAGTTTATACATGTTGGGGGATCCAAGCACGGCTGCCCTTCGTGAACTGGGAGGCCACATGAACAGTATGTATGTTCTGATCTACATCTCATAGCCGTATGTCCGAACCTTAGGCATTTAAAGCAGCACATTGGGGCCGGTAAATACGGCCTGACCGGGAATCTTTGAAAGATCGCTTTGACATCTGTAGGGGGTGTCGGCGTATCAAATGTTAGAATTAGCGTGGCTGTGTCTACGAGTCCTTTCTCGGTTTTCCTTTTAACACGCGCGACTTCGGTGACCCCTTGTGACGCCAATTCCTCTTTAATTTCCTCCTCCGGGCAGATCATTAGATCTCGAGCTGTGATCACGCCCTTGGAGGAGTTCAATCGCTTGTGCGGCGTCGAGGTCATTGGGTAGGTTTCCCCTAAACAGACTGTCTTCTCAAGCATTAGTGCCGATAAACTGTCGTCGATTTCTAATAGCAGTTGGCCAGCAGCAGTCTTTTTTACGTTTTTGATTCGGCCAAGTTGCTTACGTATCATTCGGCACAACTTGATGGGAGAATCTCCTTTAAAGTCACCCTCTTTCTTTTCTAAAATCCAAAATCTGGCGAAATTATTCTTCTTCCTAGCCCAATCTATAATCTGTGTGTCCTCAATTATTTTCTCTCTCCTTGTCCGTTTTCTCTTCAGAGTGGCAGCCGGATCAAACGGCTGCAAAGTGGTAACATTCGTGAGTCCATAATCAGTCCTACTTGTGGTTGCCTCTAGTCGGGTGGTGCCACTCGCCTCACCAACACCTACGGGATCCAATGAATAAGCACGTGGATGATCCCTATCCACGGGCTTACCGGCATTGTGGCCTTCCGGGTCTACGGCCTTATTTAACTGAAAAGGAGCAAGCTTGTTTTCAGGGTGGTAGATAGCTTTCCTATCACCCCTAGTCGGCCAGTGGGGCTGCCACTAAGGTAGACCGATATACCTCCCCTCCCTAGACTCTGGGACGCCTAGGACAGGAAAAGGAAAAGATTAATTTTGGGAAAGGGTGGTTACGGGAAAAAAGGTAAGGTTGTACAGTTAGTAGATGGAATGGGAGATAAAGATAGCCAATAAATATAGATAAGGATAGCCACCAGGTACGGGAGGGGTGCATGGTCGCAGTTTAACCTCATGCCCAGGAGGAGTAAAGATTGTTTTCAGTTAAAGTGTGACATCATACACATCAAAAGTGTGACATCATACACATCACAAATTTTCCTATCAGAGTGAGCGGCGGTTTTCCTTTGCGCTAATAAAAACATAAAAAAATTGAATGAAAAAAATGCACTATTTTTCCCACCATTTTAAATTAGCAAAATAACAGTCTCAAATGAAACTGATGAATAAAAGCATTTAAGTTAATTCCTTTTCAGTGTTTAAATAATAATGAATAAATGAACATTACACCCAAACAGAAGAGGGATAAAATTGAATTATAGAAAAACCCTGCTGATTTATAGAACAGAAATAGAATAGAACGTAAATAAGATGTCCAAAGTAATTATTTATCAAATTTGATTCAATTGCAGTACTAGGCCACCCTTAAAAAGATCATTAGTTTTTAATATGAGATATATTTATGCTGAAAAGTAAAATCTTTGTTCTGAGATCTGCTAGACAACGAACCAGTAATTAATTGTCTGCTTGTTCTTTGGTTCTGTCAGACACATTTCAACATTTCGCCATTTTCTGAGATATTTGGAAACAATCAAATCACTTTAAATTCAGATTTATGGGTTAGGCTAAATTAGAATCAATGCATAAATCTTGCTGATTTATTTAAGTAAGAGAATATATTTCGTAACAAGGAATTTTTTCTCTTGCCATCTTGATTTTTCAGAAACGTTTCAGCATATCACAATCTTTAGAGTTAGACAGACCCAGCAGAAATGATGAGAAACAACCAAACTATAGGTTAATCATCCTGCAGACTACAAGAGATTTCTATATTTTTGTACTGCTCATATTTGGTGACAGCCATATATAATATAAGCTAGAAAATTATACGTTTCAGTGTACATGCAAATTAGATATTTACCAGCACAACATATGTCAAATTGTGTTTTATAGCATCTCTACAGTCATCAGTTTATAGCACTCTTAGCTAATCTTATGCTATGTTCACTTGTATTAAACATTTTTTCATCTGGACACATATAATCACCCTAATTGTTTCAACCTTAGCTTCAGTATTATTTTGTTGAATAATATGTATAATCATATTTAATATATAATGCTTCACAATTTTGCATGTCATGCTTGCACACAGACCATGCTAATCTTCTCTGTATCGTTCCAATTTATAATATGTACCACTGAAGCAAAAAAAAGGAAAAACTGTCTTTATACCATTTAAATTTAAACTAAACTAACAATTTAATGTATTACAGTTTGTATAGCTCTGTAATATTAAAATTGCTGAACTCAGCAATAAAACAATTAGCTCTGTCAAACCTTTTATCCCTGCCTTTTTTTCCTTATTGAATAATTGCATAGTACATAATAATTGGAATAATACATCTTATTATGATAATTAAATATCTCATATTATCTAAGAGTTTTTCTTTAAACAGCTTTTGGTTTTAATTCGTTGTAATCAGTAAAATGACCATTACTTGTACTGAAGTAATGGCCTACAATTACGACTTTATGCCTGGCCACACAGAATGCCCCAGTTTCAAACAAATATAGCCTAATTTATTGCACAAAAGCCTATAATGATTAAATCATCTTAGCAATGCTTTCTTTAAACATGCAAAATTACCATTACTTGGGCTATCTGTCACATAGATAAATTTTACTTTAGGCCTTGGATTTACACCAAAACACACCGAACTTTGACCTAGTATCAACCATTAAGGTTGCGTGGACTTGTAAAAATTCATCGTAATGAGTGGGTTATTCTCTTTTATATATTATACTATCTGAAACCACAGAAATTTCATCTTCATAAATAATCACAAAAATGACCAAATGGCAATAAGGCTCGACTGGAGATGAGGATATGAAAACGTCCACTCACTTTCAAAACATAATGTGCCCAATGCTGTAATGACCAAAATGAAAAACCCACAAACTCTTTTTAAGAAAATGCTTTGAAATGATTAAAATGGCCATTACATGTACTATGTGCCGCACAGATAATTTCACTATACGGCGTAGAATTATGGCTTCACACCTGCCACACAGGCTCTTACTTTAGCATATAAAGTTGAATTTTTATTTGGCCAGTTATTTAGCAGCATCATCAGCAAACATGATTTCAACATATGCAAGCAATAAATTTAATATAACAAATGAAAATAAAAAGGAAAAGTTGCAATGGCAAATACAAAAAGGATGATGAAATTTTATGCAATATCACAAGTCATATATTCAAGCTATACAATCGACATTGTATGTATTGTCTGCCACACAGATATCGCATAGGATTATGGTTTACCCCTGACACATAGTTTACTTTGGGTATAAGACAATGAGTATTCAGCACTCATGATATCAGCGTATCATGCAAGTGATATAACAAATGGTCACAATATAGAAAAATTGGTAATGGCGACTGGAGCTAAAACGTCCACACATCATATATGCCACATACAAACTTCAAAAGGCTGAATTGCCTGAGGTCAAGGTTTTTTAATTTTTTTTTTTTAATTTAAACAAGAATGAATGGAGTTGGAGGTGATTTGTTCAACAAGAACAGATGTGCACCCAATTTGCAGAACTTCGTTTTGAAGCAAACTCTTATATTGGCCATTATTGTTTTGTACAATATATGAGAATAATTTATTGTTCATAACCAATCATGATTTCAGTATATCATGCAAGTAATAAATTTAACTTAAAAAATGATAATAAAATATAACGAAATTGGAACAGCGAATACTAAAAGGTCAATGTAATGTCCATGTAATTATTGGGCACATTGTGTCATCACACACACAAGCTAAAAATTAATTGATTAAAAAACTGAAATGAATAAAATCGACATATGTATTGTCTGCCCACTGATATAACCATAGAGTATGGGATTATGGTTTACACCTGACCACATACTTTGGGTGTAAGACGATGAGTTTTTACGTGCAAAATCTATACTCGTGATATCAGTGTATCGTGCATGCATTACATTTAACGTAACAAATGATCACAAAATAGAACAAATTGGCAATGGTGAGTGGAGGAGCCATATACAAATCTCCAAAGGATGAGTGTTTATGAATTACCTTAGGTCAATGTTTTTTCTTTTTTTTCTGCTTGTTTGTTAATGTGAGAAAATTGTGAGGTCTGGTGTTAAATTTAAACAAGAGTGAATGGAGTTTGAGGTGATTTGTTGGAAAAGAATATAAGTTCACTCAATTTGCAGATCCTCATTTTGAAGCAAATCTTAGATTGGCCATTATTATTTGGTACAATAATTTATTCATAACCAACCATGATTTCAGCACATCACGCAAGCAATAAATAAAATATAAAATGATATGAATAAAATCGACATATGTATTGTCTGCCACTCGGATATAACCATAGTGTGTGGGATTACGGTTTACACCTGACCACCTACTTTACTTTGGGTGTTAAGACGATGAGTTTTTACGTAGCAAAATCAACACTCGTGATATCAGCATATCGTGCAAATGATATATTTACCATAACAAATGGTCACAAAATAGAATGGCCACCACGGTAATGGCGTCTGAAGGTAAGGATATGAAAAGTCCACCCATCTTTAAGACACATCATATATGCCACATACAAACCTCCGAAGGATGAGTATTTATGAATTGCCTTAGGTCAAGAATTTTTTTCTTCGGATTTTGTTAATGGGAGAATATTGTGAGGTATATCATGCAAGCAATACATTTAACGTAACAAGTGATAATAAATGTAATATAAACTGATATGAGTAGAATTGACATAATTATATATTATCTGCTCACAGATATAAACGTGGGGTATGGGATTACGTTTTACACCTGACCACCTACTTTACTTTGGATATAAGACGACAAGTTTTTAGATTTTACATAGCAAAATCAACACTCGTGATATCTGTGAATCATGCAAGCGATATATTTACCATAACAAATGGTCACAAAATAGAACAAATTGGTAATGGCATCTGGTAAGGACATGAAACGATACTTCATATATGCCAAATACAAACTTCAAAAGGCTAAGAATTTATAAATTGCCTATGTCACAAGGTTTTTCTTTGTTTTTTGTTAATGTGAGAAAATTGTGAGGTATGGTGCTAAATTTAACCAAGAATGAATGAAGTTGGAGGTGATTTATTACACAAGAACAGAAGTTCACCCAATTTGCAGAACTTCGTTTTGAAGCAAACTCTTACATTAGCCATTATTGTTTTGTACAATATATGAGATTAATTTATCCATCTTAACCAATCATGATTTCAGCACATCATGCAAGCAATACATCAAATATAAACTGAGTAAAATCAACATATGAATTGTCTGCCACACAGATATAACCATAGTGTGTGGGATTACGGTTTATACCTGACCACCTACTTTACTTTCAGCATAAGACGATGAGTTTTTACGTAGCAAAATCAACACTCGTGATATCAGCATATCGTGCAAATGATATATTTACCATAACAAATGGTCACAAAATAGAATGGCCACCACGGTAATGGCGTCTGAAGGTAAGGATATGAAAAGTCCACCCATCTTTAAGACACATCATATATGCCACATACAAACCTCCAAATGATGAGTATGAATTGCCCGAGGTCAAGGGTTTTTATTTTTTATTGGGTTTTTGTTAATATGAGAAAATTGTGAGGTCTGGTGTTAAATCTGAACAAGAATGAAAGGAGTTGGAGATGATTTGTTGGAAAAGAACAGATGTTTACTCGATTTGACGCAACTGCGTTTCGAGGCAGGACAAGGCCAGGTCTCAAAAAGCACCCAGGCCATTTTTCATCGGCCAACAAGAACCAATATTGTTTATCTCATAAAATTTAAATAAGAAACATCTAGGCGAAGTTAATAATAAGAGGTCTTAGATAACCTTATTTACCTGTAAAGCCTTATCGGGAGTTCGGCGGAATCACTTCTAGAATCGGTTGTCACGCTATGATTTTTCTTCATGCTGTCAAGTCATTATTAAACAGAATCCCGGTCGCTACTCTTCTAGAATCAAGCCGTCGCTAGAATCCGGTCGGATTAAACGTCAATCGCCCGAAAGGCGAGGTAAAACAACTGGAAAGACAGTCTCTCTAGCCGCCGCCATCTTCCCGACTGGCAGTCCAACCGCTCTGCGGCTAAAAGCTACTCCCCTGCGGGCCGAGAGAACGTATTTTAATTATAAAAAAAATTCCCTTTTTTTTATCAAAGCGCCGACGGACGGCCTCCGTGACCCGACTCGGCCTTTAAATGGCAGTCCATTTATGATATTTTCACAAGAAAAAAAGTCTTTTTTATGGAATTTTTTGTTTTTTCCCTGGAGTCTTCAGCTGAAGGTCACTAGTTGTATCAGCTGTCATTTTGGAGTTTTTTATCTTATCACATCGCGGTTTTCGAGCGAAGGTTAAAGAAAATGTGGAAAACGTCTCCGCTCGGTTCGTCCCATATTCCTCATTCACTCTCCCCTTGACAATAAACCAATTTTGAATAAAAATAAAATACAAAAAAATAGTTTTCTTTTAAAATTATATTAGTTTGTTTTATAATAAAAATATGATCGTAAGTAGCCCTTACAGACGTCTATCAGTTCTCTACAGGATTCTCAACGTGAAAAAAAACCCGACACTTTCACTTAATTATTGTTCTTCAAGACAAAAAAACGAAGGTATGGCTCGTTTATTTTTTTAATTTAAAATAAATAGATAAATAAAACGCATGTTCTACTTACAATTTGACTTGAATATAATCACGGAGAATTTTGAACTTTTTTTTTTACTGTCGAATGTCAGTTTCACATCCAAACAATGCAATATGTTGATATGCTACATGTATGTGAAGAGAATTTCATCTGAATATGTTATACTTACAAAACAGTGGTTTTATTTCGTCTGGAAGACCGGCCCTGCAAGTCCCATCACATTTGTACCGCAGTGGTTTCCATCCATTTTGAACATGTCTTGTGTAGATTCAAACAAAGAATAACAGCAGGAATTAATCAGTTTTTTTATTGTTATTTAATAAAAAAAAGAAAGCCTCATCTGCTAAAAGAAAAAAAAACTAAAAAAACTTTTGGATTTTATGTTCCTCTCAGTGACAAAAGAGCTATCGACATGATGAAAGTTGGTATGTTTTTTGGAATTGTGTTTTGCCACACACCTGTTTTATTCGTGTTTATTATAAGGTTCACTCTTGGCAAACAAATTGCAATTTATGTACATCCCATAGTCACGAAAAGCAGACATTTTAATACTGTTTCATTTAACTAAAGCTGGCTGTGCGAATCGGGGCTCCACAAAACTTAAGATATCCTCAACTCTAATGTATTGTTACCAGTTTTCCATGTATGACCGACCCCCTCACACTGATGGAAGGGGAATAATGTCTTGTTGTCAGTCCAATTACTGAAGTGTATTAATATAATTTGTTAATAATATTAATACAAGAACTTGCTAATAACAAGTACGATTAAATTTGTAAAATAAAGTATATTGTTAATACAATTGTAATTAAAATACACTGATAGGCAAAAAATTCTACCCCAATTGATTTTTTTTCCATTTTCTTGATAAAAGAAAATTATGCCCTTAATTTGTCTCATTGTTTTTATCAATAAATATTTGTTTACGCTATATTTTAAATTGGGAATATCAATTAGTGGTAAACACACTTAATCCTTATCCAAAACGTGGATAAAGGATTTTTCAGTGTTTACTTTTTATGGAATTTAAAATGTTTATTCAATCTCATTTGAATTCTGGAGCAATAAACTGTTTAGTTTTCATCTTTGTTTTCTTAATTTCAATTTTTAAACATAAAAATGCCTCTTAGTGCTGAGGTTGTTGTGCGTGGTGTGGCACTTATTGATGATGGACATTCTGTCAGGTATCCAGCTATTGCCATCTGAGTTCCCTACAAAACTCTGCAAGATGCCATTAGATGTTTTCGAGAAACTGGATCCTACCATAGAAGGCTCAGTTCTGGACGCCCTAGGGTAACAGAACCGTAGGTTTTTTGATGTTGAGAATTTTGAAACTGGCATCTCACTGTTTTTCAAGCAGTTCATCAGCTCCAGGAAGTTCGAGATGTCCAAATTTCTAAACGTACTGCTCGAAGAAGATTAAATCAGTATGGACTGATGACTTTTCGCCCTGTAAGAGCACCAGAATTGACCAGAACACACAGAGTTGCACAGCTCCAATTTGCTCGAGAACACAGCCATTGGTCTTTAGATAATTGATCTGCTGTACTTTTTACAGATGAATGTAAATTTGCTCTATGAACTCCAGATGGGCATGAAAGAGTACAAACAAGGTACGAAGCCTGTACTTTTTCCCAGGCCAATCTTTTCAGCATAGCTAAGTTATGGTGTGGGTGGAAATTTAAATGGAGAGTCATACAGAGTCCGTTGTTGTTTATAGAGGGTCTTTGACGGCCACTCCATATGTGGATGAAATTGTGGAACCTCATGTGGCCTATCCTTGATGAAAGTAGCGACAATCCTATTCTAATGCACGCTAATGCCCATCCTCTTGCCTCTCGCATAGTATAAACGTACCTTCAACAGCATAACTTCAGGGTCTTGAACCCCATCGAACATTTACAGGATAACCTCAAAAGACAAATAAAGCACGTCCATCATTCCTGACACACTCCACGATATCTTTGTGAAGAATGGGCTAACCTGCAGCAAACACCATTTCAAGACTGGTAGAACGTTTGTCAATGCATCTTTGAGATGTAATTAAGGCAAGAGGAGTATATGTCTACATATTGGCATATTTAAGTATTTAACAGGGGATCTAAAATTTACTTGAAGACCAACTCAGCCCTAACATTGCCAAGGACTGTAATGCCTATTCTACAAGGCCATCAATGGCTTAAGTGTTCGGCCTGGCAGGATCAACCAAGCTTTCCTTTTTGTCTGAGGCACATTTCGCTCAACAAAACAAGACTGAAAGTAGTCCAAATAGTCCTGTGATTAACAAAGTTCAGGTTTCACTACTATGCATAATTGGTCATAATTGACCATTTAATTATTCTTTTCATCTAAGGTTTTTAGTTAAGATGAAAAGTTATCGGGTTGTCCGGAAAATAATGCAGGATTTTAAGTTTTCATTAAAAAAAATCTATATAAAATATTCTGTTTACGTTTACAGGATTACTCATTTGTATGAATGATATTGTTTGTTTACCTCTGTAGCATTCCGCTACTTGGAAATAATTCAGTCATCCTTATAATGTCAAAGCGAGAATTTCGTACGATTTTCTTTTACGAGTTTAAACTCGGCCGAAGCGGAGCCCAAACGGCTAGAAACATTAACCAAGTCTGGGGCGAGGGTTGTGTTAATGAGTGCACTGTGCAAAGGTGGTTTAAAAAATTTCAGGGAGATTTCAGCCTTGAAGATGAAGAAGGTCGTGGAAGGCCTTCCTCTCTTAATGATGATGTTCTGCGATCAGTGGTGGAAGAAAACCCCAAAACAACTGTTCGAGAACTTGCAGAGCAACTCAAAGTCAGTAAAACGACCGTCGCTGACCACCTCAAGGCGATTGGAAAAGTGAAAAAACTCGAAAATTGGGTTCCACACTCATTAAACGATCGCCAAAAAAATCAGCGCTTTGATGTTTGTGCATCACTTCTTTGTCGAAACAAAAATGACCCATTTCTGGCCAGAATTGTTACATGTGACGAAAAGTGGATTCTCTACGATAACACTAGACGTTCTGGACAGTGGCTCGACAAAGGAGAAGCTCCAATACATTTTCCAAAGCCCCCAACTCATCAAAAAAAGGTAATGGTTACGGTATGGTGGGCTTCATTTGGTTTAATACACTACAGCTTCTTAAATCCTGGCGAAACCATCAATGCTGAATCATACTGTAACCAAATTAATACCATGCATCAGAAATTGGCAGTAATGAAGCCCTCTTTGGTCAATCGGAAAGGGCCCATTTTGTTGCATGACAACGCTCGACCACATGTGTCACGTGTAACGTCACAAAAATTATTGGAGCTTGGCTATGAAACTTTGCCTCACCCACCCTACTCTCCGGACCTCTCGCCTACTGACTACCATTTTTTTAGACACCTGGACCACTACTTACAACACATAATATTCAAAAATCAAACGGAACTGGAAAATGCATTTATTGACTTTATCAATTCTAAAAATTCTGAATTCTACTCAGACGGAATTAATAAGTTACCAACACGTTGGGAGAAATGTATTGAGAGTATGGGAAATTATTTTGATTAAAGAACATTGCTTTAAAGTAACTAGTTTCTTTTTTTTTGTTTAATACCAAAATCCTGCATTATTTTCCGGACAACCCAATAGTATCACAAGCTGGATTCGAACACAAGACTTTTGGCTCGATATGCTGCTGCACTAACCACTTGCGCTATCATGACTTCGATCCACTCAAACACCAACTCCTCATCTCAACCTACAATCTTTTGAATTTTCCCTCTTTTTGTCATTTTTCAAATGCCGGGTTATCTGGATTCGATTCTCAGCGACTTATGAAGTGGCCATGGGAGCTGTTAGTGAAGTGATTCTTCTTTACTTATTATATATTAATCCATTTATGTTTAGTGGTCTAATTGACTTTTTTTTTCTTTTTTTTTTTTTTTTGGACGATTTTATGATGAGTCTGATATGCTAACTATTCAGTTACCACAGTCCCCTGATCAGGAGGATCAAACTACAATAAAAACAATTGTGGTTTGTTCTGTCCTGATTTAGTGGGTTTTTGATGTCAGTCCATTTAATGAGATTCAGAAGGCAATTTCGCTAAACCCATTATAGAGATTTTAGAATGCTTAGGAAGAATTCAAGGTTTTTACTAATTCAGTATTTTTTCTCCATAGTGATTGACAAAAGTTTTATTTATTTACATACAAAGTATGTATCTTATAGGTGAGAACAGCGTGAGCATTGGAGATGTTAGAAAAACAGTAAAGCCCACCAAAAACCCGCAGTATGTCCCAAGAAGTTATTGTAAGTAAATGTTCTTCATCTACCATTAACAATTTTTTCTCGCCTAGTTCATTTATTTAATTTTCAGTGTTGAAAGAACCAGACCAGGAGACACTCCACCATCTACGATGGATGTTACAGAAAGACATGCTTTCTCAGGATATCTTTCTTGTTGGACGGCCTGGCCCACTGAAAAGAAGATTGGCCATGCAGTTTCTTGAGCTAACAGAAAGAGAACTTGAATTTGTTTCCCTTTCGAGAGATACAACAGAGGCCGATCTTAAACAAAGGAGAGAAATAGAATCCGGTACAGCGAAATACATCGATCAGGTCTGAATTTTTTCCAACAGCTAGTATTTGCATTAATAAAATATATAATGATGTTCAAGCAGAATATGCTGTGGCTGTTCCAAATTCATTGTAGAAAACTAAATAAGTATTTTTAAATTGATTTCACTTTTGAAACAGTAATTTATACACAGGAGCTCTTTGTATTACATTGGTATTAATAAAATGATTATGCTTTAATCAAATAAATTTATTAATATTTAACATAAATTATAGAAAAATTGACACAGCGTGGTAAAATGGATGTTTAGAGTGAACTAAAATGATTTGATGTTTATCCCATGTAAGGTCCCACATAGTATGAACCTCCGGCTCCTCCATGTCCAGCAGAATGTCCCATTCCGTGGTTATTGTTCCTGTTGGATTCCATATGTCCTCTCTGGTAGGCCAAGTCTCTGTTGTTGGAATATCCATTGTGGTCTCTAGCATCCCAGTTTGTCCCGTGCACACCGACAGATTTCATTCCATTGCCTCCACCTGCATTGTTGACGACGTGCTCTCCAAATTCACCTCCGCGTCTACCATGGTCATACTGATCCCAAGCGCTGTTGTCGAATTGATTGCCGAACTCTTTTCCAAAGTTTTCTTCCCCGACACTGTGGTCTTCATCAACAAATTTAGAATCCTTTCCAGATTCTACGTTGTGGTAGGTTTTGTGAAATCCAGTTGTTTTGTGTCCCTTGCGGTGGCCCTGATTACCAAATCCTCCATAGCCATCTTTGGAAGAGACATCGACGTTCTTCAGCGCTCCAGTGTAGCCATCTCCTCCATTGTTGTAATTGGCTCCTGCAACGTTTCTTTGGTATCCCTGTCCTCCCTCATTACCTTTCACAACTACATGTTTTCCATTCACACCTTGAGCTCCTTGGTTAACAACCTGATTGTGGTCCCTCACGACATGGTGTCCAGTTCCGTCATTTGCATACCCGTTATATCCCTGGTTTCCTCCATAGTAACCAGCACCATCTACCATACCTTTCTGATAGACTACTGGCTTTGGAACAGAATACATGGGCATAGGTACCATTCCTGGATAATACGGGCTCATCATAGCTGGGCTGTAAGGAAATGGCATGGCCATTACAAGACCAAGCTGAATACCAAGAAGTAGTGTACTATAGGATATCATTGTGTGCATCTCACGAAACTGAATTGACACTGAACTTGACTCCTTTTATACCACACCTTTTAACCTTATACCTCAATTAAGAAATATTTACGCATCAATTGATTTGTGGTTACTTCTTTGTCTAAGACTTCTCAGATCAGCTTTGACCTTTTGTTCAGTGGTGCAAAACTACAAAATTCAGCCCGTTGCATAATATGTTCCCCCGGCTCTTAACTTATACAATACTGATCAAATTTGATAATATGTTCACAAAGCTATTTCAGCATATGGGTTATGTTAATACATCAAAAACTAAACAAAATAATTTATGATTTTATTTGGAAGTAATTTTTATTAGTTATTTCACGTATGTCTCAATTTTTTTCCTATGAGAACAAAGAACTTTTTTATTGTAGCCAAATATTTTACAGATATTTGTTAAACCTAACTAATGGTATTTTCTGCAGTACTTACAATTATTATTTATCATAATTATTTTGTGCTTTTTAGAGTGCTGTTAGAGCTGCACTTGAAGGGAGAATCCTTGTTTTGGAAGGAATCGAAAAGGCAGAAAGAAACGTACTACCAGTTCTGAACAATTTGCTCGAAAACCGAGAGATGCATCTCGAGGATGGGAGATTCCTTATACCAGCAAAACGCTTTGACAAACTCCTTGAGGTATGATCAAATTCAATCTAATTGGACTGGAAGAAATATTTTTTTTTCTTTTTTAGGAACATGGCAAGGAAGAACTAGACAAGTGGAAGCTGGTGAGGGTTAGTGAGGATTTCAGAGTAGTAGCCCTCGGACTCCCTGTTCCAGGATATCAAGGAAATCCGTTGGATCCTCCACTAAGGTCAAGGTTCCAGGCTAGAGATATACCATCCACTTCTTATCAGGTAATAAAAAATTAATTGTGATTTATGATAAATTAAAAATAATCAATTTTTTGTACCAGCTTTAAGTGAAATGATAAGGTTTTTTTTTAACCTACTTTGCATTTACCTACATTTCTTAATTTTATATCAAGCTATTCATTATAATTTATTTGTCTTTAAGCAATACTTTCCTCTTAGTCTTAAGTCTTAGAAACTAAATCTTCAATAAACAGCCCTTATCTGTATTGAGAACTTTTAAATATTATTTAATATATATTTATTACATAATACTTAATATACAGTAAATAAGGAGGATTTTTTCCATTTTCAATTCTTCTATTTCAAATTACTTTCTTATAAAAAGCATAATATAATTATATTAAAGTACACAGGTACAGATATCTGTGCTTTTCAAAGTAAAAGTTTAAAAATAGTACCTTTTGGAAATGTCGTTGCAGTTACAGATATTTTTAGCTTTATCTTCTCCCCCAACCTGGTGAGGTAAAAAAATATATTCTTCTTATACTATTTGAAATAAATTTGCGTTGTAGCATATATTTCATAAAAATAAAAAGACTAAGGAGATTTAGGGTTGGTACTAACTTAGTAAAAAGAGATAATTTGTATACTATTATATTTTATTGTACAAATTTATAAATCGGGATTGATTTGAAATATGAAACTATAAGCATAAATGAAATATTTTCAAAAGATTAGTGCATATTGGTGTATATATTTGTTTATCTATATTATTGAGTGGTCAGGATAAAATGAAAACTTTAACTAACATCTTTTAGCAATTAACAATTAATAAATAAAAAATAAAATTAATTTACATTGATAAACACCTTGAACTGCAGTTGTTGTGGCTATAATGTTATACAAATGAATAAGAAACCATAAATTTAGCATTAATGTTTTTTAATTTGAACACTAGTTTTGTCTATCAAATGCATTTTTAAATTTTGCATCTTTAGCAATTAAAAGTAAAGTTAAGTGAATTAAAATAACACAGGATTTTTTTTCTTGATCAACCAAAACTTAACCTCTTTCCTGAAGATATTTGCTTCTTTTGTGCAAGACTCCCACTACCCAACTTCACCTGCCCTCAGGTTTAATCATGTACCATTATGACTTGCCAGGGTCTGTCACTGTAAGTTGGTATGCTCAGCAGCCAGAATTGTCAGACAAGTTGCTGAAAAGTTTCGCTTTCTGTCCATATGTTTGTATGCTGTGGATAGTGAGGATCTCAATATGGTTACAGAAAGTGTGAGGAGCATTGTTTGGAGTTGTTTATTCCTGAGATCCCTGAGCATCTTTTGAGTATGCTCACTTGCGTCTCCAGCTGCTTAAAAGAAATGTAGTTCCATGAACGCTTCCTTTAACATCTTTTATTTCTATACCTCGAGGTCTGGTACTTCATTGAGCCTGTCATTTCATATGCCTCCTTGAGATCCAGAACTCATCAGTGATGATGATATCCAGCCAGTCTAGTCGCATCTGGTGCTCAGAGGGGAGTTTCTACGACGATTTGGTATCCCAAGTCACAGAGACTGGTGATTAGGAACTGGTCACTGATTACGCCTTGGCATTATTTTTGAGTAATTCTCCAGGCATGAGGTGTTGTGTATCACTGACAACAGATCAAACCACTTTACTTTTTTTTTTTTTTTCGTACTAGTCTCAATACCACTCAGTCACTGCAGTCTCCAATCTTAGTTATTAATTTACACAAAATAAATTTTGATTTCTGATAATTTAAGAGCTATGTTGAAAATAAGAACATCATACAATTCATTGATTTTAATTTAGTACCTTGTTAATTGGGTAAATAAGTCAGTAGTGTACTAATCCATAAACACCTACCCTTACAAATAATTTCATATTAGTTCATAACTTTCAAGTGAACTGACAAACTTTCATATTCAGGTTTTTAAAGACACTTAAATGTTTTTAATTTGTATACATAAATGATGTGGAAATTGTTTAGACAATTTGCAATTGTGGTACAGGAAATATTGAAACATTTTGATATTTAGTTTAGAATCAGTACAATATATTTTCAATCTCTTAATACCAAATACAATAAAAACATAATTTACAAAAATTGAACATACAAGAAAATAAAGTTAAATATATATTTATTTGTAGTGCTGTAATATTTTTTTTAAATTATAATTCAGTATTTATTTTATATTGTGATTTAAATTTTATATTTTTTAAATAAAATTGCAGCTTGGTCGTTTCTGATCATTTTCATTTGCCTGGGTGTTGTCATTATTTTATCAATAGGATCTGTTTTATAAGTTAATTAGTTGTAACACACACTGAAGAAGGCAAAAAATGAAAACTTGTCTGTCAGGCTAAAACAACAGGGATTTGTAGTAGACCTAAAATGTTCGGAAACAATCGAGCTGTTGCAAGGTTCATACCCCCTTGTCCTCAAGGGGAAATCATACATTAAAAATACTTTTATAATGTATATCCTTACAAGGTATTTTCTGCTTGATAATTATCAAAACTATAAATGATGATAGAAAGTATTAACATATAAAGTTTCTTGTTGAATATGGACAATTTTATAAAATATAAATATCTCCACACAATTATTTTGTATAGATAAGAATATGATATAATAAAACTTAAAACTAAAGTAATTAAAGTGAAATGGTTTTAGCTAGAGTTTTTGATCAGGAACTTAGTTCATAAAATGATGAGTAATTTTAAATTAACTCCTGGTACACTAAAAAAATATTTAACCAATGCAAATCGTTTTAATTTCATGAAACATTAATAATTAATATTTTAATTAATGAAACTTCTTTTGATTTGATTCTGGTTAGACTAGTTTTCATCTCTCCAATTTTACTTATAAGTATCAACTCATCATACATTTATTAAACCAAATAAAATATCTACATCATTGTCACATTTTTAATTTAATTTTGTATTAATAAATATTTTATTGATTGCATAAGCCGGTGAGGAATTAGGTGATTTAAAGAATAGACTATTAAAAAGCTGTTTAATTCAATGATTTCTTATAATATGTTTTTTAAGATAATCCCTATGTTTTTTAAATTAATTCTTTTACAGTTCTAGTTTTGTTTTTTAGGTCCCCTTGTGTTGAAATAGTATTGGTGAAATGTTAATTTTTCCTTTGTTATCCTGCAGAAAATTTTGTTTTTCTGATGATTTTTTTTTCTTCTTCATCTTAGTAACCATCAAAAAGGCCAGTGTAGCCTTTTTGCCTCTCATCATTACTTTTGTCCATATACTGTGAATTTTGTCCTGACCCAGCGTCATAATGTAAGTTACGCATCTCAGTAGGTTTTTGTGGCTCAACATACCCTCTATTTGTTATCCCAGTAGTTCTTTGTAGTCCATCATACCCTCTATTTTTGATCCCAGCAGGGTTTTGCAGTCCATCATACCCTCTATTTTTGATCCCAGCAGGGTTTTGTAGTTCATCATACCCTATATTTTTTATCCCAGTAGATGTTTGTGGTTGATCATAACCTCTATTGTTTATCCCAGTAGGTTTTTGTGGTTCAACATAACCTATATTTTTCATCCCAGTAGGATTTTGTGGTCCATCATACCCACTATTTTTTATCTCAGCAGATGTTTGTGGTTGATCATAACCTCTCTTGTATATCCCAGTAGAATCCTGATCTCCCAACCAGCCTGTATTCCTAGGTATGTTGTTATTCTGATGTCTGTTGTCGCTATAAATTGAACCATCCTTGTTGTTTAAGGCATTATAAACCACAGGGTTGCTTAAGGGACAACCAGTGTTCAAAAACTGCTTTTGATTCTCCACCTGGTTTCTTTCCGGGTGACGGTTATAATCATTTTCATGATGAGCTAAATTTAATGTTTTACCATTTGGATTATATATATTATCCCCTCTGTGATCCTTGTTGTTGATAGTGTGTTCATTTGATGGTGTCCGTGATTGTGGGCTTCCTTGGACCATGGGTCCAAAACGAAATGGCCTCCCCTCAGCTTTTAATAAACAGTACAAAATCAGTATGACATTGTGAAATAATAGCTGAACAACTTTCATGTTTCTAGTATCACAAAGCAAATACAACTGGAAAACTGTCTCTCATCTGTAACCCTATTTATTCATGATCATTCTAACAGAACTGAAAACGCTTCATCGATCTTGTGGTTTTCTTGTTCCCACAATTTGAACTTGACATGATTTTCATTGGTTTGAAATTAGTTATACATTAAATTGTATAAATAATAATTAACAAAAACTTAATATGCTTAAACTAAGTATATTGTTTGTCATCTAGCCTGTAGTTAAATGCATTATCTTTTGCATTACTAATTTACTTTACATATATTTTATTATATTAAACTTCACACAAATATTTCTTTCAAAATATACCTATAACAAACTACATTTTCAAACCTTTCACAAAATTTGACTTATCCTTGAAGAAAGATTTCTTTTGAACTTTGTTCCTTTTGTCCATCCACCTTTCATTGTCGAAATACAGCTCTCACTTTAAACAATTTCATTCACTTTTACAATCCTTTTATGCTAAGCCAGACACAACAATGCCCATTGTAATGAAATTGAACTGTCACTATTGGTTTTATGTCATCAAAGAATAAAAGATAATAATAACTAAATGAACTAGGTGAAAAACCTGTTTTTTATTATAGCATTAATCATTTCACAAGAGGTAGGCAAATAAAACTTAATTGTCAACTTAATTTTATTTATTTAAATTGTAATGATCGTATTGAAAATCACTTGGAAATGGTTAAAAATATTTTTTAATGTTTCCTTTTTATTTTTATAAAATATACTTGTACTACATATTATCTTCTGACTTTAGAAATGTTTAGGTATTTGTTCAATTATATGTTATGTTATCAAATCATATAATAATGCAATAGCATAAATGAGCAATAAAATGCACACTACATTATCGTTAAACTGAATACATTAAATTTCTTATAGTGATAATTGTTTATCAAAATATCTTCAAGTAGATGCA